CTCAGCACCTGAACCAGAGATCCAAGTGAAAGAGAAGAGCACTCCAGGCATTCTGCACGCAGTGACCAGCAGGTTGGCTGGGGGCTGACACACAACCCATGTGGAAAGCTGAGAGGACAAAGCTGTTCTGGCCAAGCCCATGCTGTGTGTAGAGTATCAGAGAGGTTTCACGCACAGCTCAGAGTAAACAGGCAAACAAGTGGCAGCCAGAAATGTTAATATTTGCAAAAATCTCCTGGTTTTGGCGCCTGGGTGTGGGGAGCTGAAGGATGTTGGTGGAATGCAAACATGATAGATTCTTGGCTGCCCAGAGGGTGGCATGGGGAATCTCACAGGGCAGGACAGACTGCCTGACAGGCCTGCCCCCTCCCTGGAGGAGAATGGGCTGAAAAGTTCAGTAGCACATAAAACTGGTCCCCTGGGATTATTTGAACATCCCTGGGAAAAACAAACAAAACAAACCATGTTCATCCTTCTTTGCTTGTTTCAGACATTGTTTCCCTCCCTCCATGTAGTAGGAGATGGATTTGTCCATGCTGATCCCCAACACTTCTCCTGGATACATAAGGGGGAAAAATGACACAAGGCTTCAGACTCCTGCCCTCACTTCACCTGGGTCCTTTCATGGTGTGTTTAGGATGGTTTGAACCTGCCCAACTCCATCTCTGCAGGGCTTTTACCTGGACCATGGCTGCCAGTTCACAGTCAGACAACTTCAGAGGCTCCACAGCCTTGAAGGCTCTGGCTTTAGTGAAACGCCAATATCATTTGAGACTAGGAAGAAAATATTGGCAAATAATGTCTGCCTCTGGTCACCTTCCTCCTGCAGCTATTTATCCAAAGATACCGTATCTCGGAGCATTGCTTCATTTCCTGCTTGCCTTTCTAACCGAGGCCTCTAAATCACGTCGCTGCAGCTGAGGTCACGGAGGGAAGTGTAATATCCATTAGCAGTGATGGTGCTATTACTTTGATTTACCTCGTCCCTTTTTCTTTCACTCTTTCTGTTTACAGCAATCCCTTTCCACTTCTTTCCCCTCCTGCTCTCAGTGCAGGAAAGAGCTGGCAGGAGCCTGCAGAAGCAAAGCTTCCTGGGAGGCAGCCTGCTTTTGGGGACATGGGGAGTCTGGGGGTTTCTCCTGGACCAGCAGCACCCCATTCCTTCCTCACCAGCGATGCCAAGGGCAGTGGGAAGGGCTGGCTTCAAGCTACCCCATCCTCACCCCAATAGAGTCCTTCACCTGGGGCTTGTCCAGGTCAACACATGGAAAAAATCAACCCCAATTTACCCCTCTGTCCCTCTCCTGCTCCACAGCTGGGCACTGCTCAGGGAGAGCCACAGGATCCTCCAGGAGAGTGGGATCCAGAGGAATCAAAGTTCTCGAAGTGTATTTGCACTTAAACCAATATGAAACACGGAAATCAAAATGCAAAGCTTGTTGTCTCCTGTGGAATTTCCTTCCCTGCATCTGGAGAGCTGACACAAGAGAGTGACACTGGGATCAGGGCTTTCTTCCCCTTCCCCTTGTGTTTCACTGACACCCAGGGAAGATCCCCAGCAGCCAGACCCACTGCACTTCCCACTTCACCCCCCTCCTCCAGCAAGGCCAAACAGCTCCTCTGACTCCATCTCCAAGAATACATTATTTACTGCATGTCACAGAGAACGGTGAAGAGTTTTGGACTCCATCCATGTGGTTTGAGCCAAACCCTTCTCAATCCATCTTATCCTTCACCTCCCCAGTGCATAATCAAATTCTCCAAACACAGCGTTCTCAGGTCCCAGCCCAGAGCTTGGAGCCTCCCAAGAGGGATATGCTAAAAAAAGAAAAAAAACATTACATTGCCAACTGAAGTGAGTGTTGAAAGGAAGGAGATGCCAGGAGCACTTAAACAGGAATCCGAGACCGGGGGACGCTCGGGTGTGTGTTTTCAATCCCCAGAAGGGAGATGTGTTCATTGGGAAATGACTGCCACTCACTGCTAGTTTTAGACTTTGTAGTTGATGTCCCAGAATGTGAAATGGCCATGACAAGGACATCCCCATCTGTATTAGAACTTTCTTCTTGGATGGATGGATTAGTGCAGCGCATGGTAAAATGGTGCCACTCCTCCTTTGGCTCCAAAATCTGCATTTGCAGCTCAAACCTGCAAAGATGGAAATAAGCAATTTTACATGAGTGACAGGTTCTGTTGGCAACAAGGGGAGTTATATGGGAAAGCCTTTACATCGGGGGTCCAGGACTGTGTTGGGTGCTGAAGGATGTGCTGCAGCAGCTGAACCCAAGCTGGCAGTTCCACACCCCTGGTGCAGAGCATCTCTTCCAAAAGAGCAGCCTCCCATAGCCCCAGCCCCAGCCTCCCATAGCCCCCCAGCCCTGGGCAGAGTATGTGCTGGCACTGATGCCATGCCAGGGAGGTGCTCCTGCTGTCCACATTGCACAGAGGGACCAGGACTAGGCTCCAGCTGGGGCTGAAAGGGGAGCTAATGGGGAATTTCGACATCAGCTGAGCTATCCCAAATTCTGCTGTTTCAGGGTGAAGCTTCAGTTATCCTGCTACAGCCTCTCCAAACAATGGGCCTACAGGTGCCCCTGGGAGGTTGTCACCTCCTGGGCTCCATAACAGGGAGAGATGAGCTCTGAACACAGCACAGATCCTGATCCACAGGGACACCTCCCAGCATTGTTGGCTTGGGCTGCTGGCAGAGCATAACCTTGTACAGCACAGTCCAGATCTTTGCTAAAAAGCAATTATTGATGCTTTTACCTCTCTGCAGAGCCTCACATATAAAGGATCACAGTGCTGCAACAGATAAGGGAGCAACATCCTGGTTCACCCTAGCCTGTGTGTCCTGTGCTGGAGTCTTGTTTGTGTATCTGTGCATAGTTTATAAGGTCGCCTGGAGGAACAGTGCAAGGCCAGGAGGATACAGATGACAAAGCCATTTCCCTCTCAAAAAGATGCACCTAAGGAGATTATTCAGTTCCCATCCAAAATCCACGAGTTCAAAGCCAGCTGTTCCTCAGGATTGCTGGCACATGGCAGGAGGGTGGGAGGTAACATCAGCTGCAGTCCCACTGCGATGGGCTGGCACTGGCACTGCTCCCGTTCAGCCCTGGCATGTTCACAGGGTGAGAGCCAGCCTAGTGGAAGCACAGAGATCTAAATGTGGGGACTGAAGTTTTGCTGCATGAAGTCACAGCTGACAGAAGATGTTCAGGCATCCCTGGATCCCAGTGTCATTATCCTAGTGATGTTCCCAGGGGCACTCTTCTGTGTCGTGCAGTAGAAATGATAAAAGGGCAGCAATGGGAGCAGGTTCAGTCTGCTGGAAATAATCCCTGCCCAATGTGTCCTTGTCCCCCGGTGCCCAGTGAGCAGTGGGGACTGAGCATCCCTGTCCTAGAGCCACCATGGATTCTGGAGCAGGAGGGTGCAGCCAACCCACCTTGCTCAGAGAGCTGGAGCAGTCCTGAGCCCCCAGAATAACTGTGTGGGAGCTGCCAGCCCATTTGGCCATGGCCTGACCTTGTTGGTGTCCACGCTTGTCCAACCAGAGGCCAAGGGGTGTACCTGGCTTGCCCATGGCCAACATCCCCCAGGACTGATTGCTCCTCGTGCATGCAGTGATGTTCCAAGTGCAAACATCAGCGTGGGGCTGTGGCTGAGCGTGTCAGCCTGAGGGGCTGCTGGGGACAAGGCAGAGGCTGCAGGCAGGGCTGCTGTGGCCACATGCCAGTGACCAAGCACACACAGTGTGAGAGAAAGCCTGGGAAAATCCATCAGACAAGCAAATTAAGATGGGCAGAAATACTTTCTGCACTAATTGCACTGCTGTAATGAGAAAACAGAGCACCAGGAGGAGGAGGGGAATAGCTGGACAGTGCCTGGCACATTAGCCTTTTGGGGGCATGCTCTGGTTCTAATGGTGGTTAGGAAGGAGACAGGTGGTCTGTGCAGCTCTTCTAAGTCCCTGTGTCCCCTCTCCTTTCAGTTTTGTTTGCTTTTACTTCCAGTGTTGAAAGTTCTTGTGATTTTTCTCACATGTCCACCAGCGTCTGCCACTTCCCACAGCATCGCAGGGCTCATCATCAGGTGACCACACGAGGATGAAAAACCCTCCTTCTTTCTTTCATCCCTAACAAGGCCACAGCCTCTTGATTTCTGAAGTTACCCAAAGCCTTGGACAGAGCTGTGTCCCGAAGGCACCGTGAGCGGGGGGGGGGGGGGGGGGTTTTGCTTGGGGTTCTTTCTGGGCTCGTTACTGAATGCGGCAGCGGGGCGGTGCAGGACAGTGCAGGGCAGTGTGCGGGAGGGCAGGGGAGGTGCGGGGACAGCAAAGGGGCAGCAAAGGGGCAGCAAAGGGGCAGCAAAGGGGCAGCAAAGGGGCAGCAAAGGGGCAGCAAAGGGGCAGCAAAGGGGCAGCAAAGGGACAGTCCAGTCCGATCCAGTCCAGTCCGATCCAGTCCAGTCCGATCCACTCCGATCCGATCCAGTCCGGCGCAGCCCCGCACGCGCCCTCCCGCGGGCGGCGCGCGAAGCCCCCGCGGCTGGCCCGGCGCGCGCTCGCACGTGACTGCATCACATGCAGGGGCCCTGCCCCGCCCCTCCGCGGGATCCCACCCAATGAGCTGGCGGGCGCGCGCCGTGTCCGCGCCGTGATTGGTCAGGGCGGGCGTCAGTCCGCGGGAGGGGCGGGGCCGAGGTTCGGGGTGTCGGAGGTGGGAGAGCGACGGGACGGGGCTGGACTGAGCTGGACTGGACCAGAGTAGGTCAGACCGGACCGAACCGAACTAAACTAAACTAAACTAACCTAACCTAACCTAACCTAAGCCGTCTCAGCACGGTGGGGTGCCCGGGACGGCGGGAGGCCGGGGCTGCGGTCGGGGAGCGGGCGGTGCGCGCCGCGGGACTCGAGCCGCAGGAGCGCCGCACCCGCAGCGGCGGCGCCGCACCGGCCCGGGAGCCCCTCGGGGTGCGGGTGGGTGCTCGGGCCGGGTGACCGCTGCGCTGGGGCCCGGCGGGGACACAAGGCCGGGCCCTGTCAGAGCAGTTTTGGTGAAGTGACAGAAAATTCAGAATTGTTACTCCAAAGGGAGTGACCTTCGGCCAGGGCTGCTCTGTAATTCGGGGCTTTCCAGCCCTGCACACACCCCGTGTAGCAGCTGGACAGGCCCCGAGGTCAGGTAACCAAGCCTTGCCCGACAGAGGGATGGGGGTTTGTGTGCGGGGGTGGCAGGAAGCTCAGGAAGCATCCCTGTGTGCCCGCAGGGATGGCCGGCGGCAGCCAGGACCGCAGCCTGCGGGAGGAGCTGACCTGTGCCATCTGCTGCGAGCTGTTCAGCGAGCCCGTCATGCTGGACTGCATGCACCACTTCTGCAAGGGCTGCATCCAGCAGTACTGGGACAGCTGCGCGCACGGCCCCTCGTGCCCGCAGTGCCGCCGCAGGTTCCCCGGCCGCGCTTTCCGCTCGCACTACCTGCTCTCGGGGCTGGTGGAGAAGGTGCGGCGCTGCGGCTCCCAGGAGCACCAGCACAAGATGCGGGTGAGTGGCTTCTGCCAGGCTGGAGAGAAGGGGACAAGTGCCACATCAGCCCTGTGCAGCCGCCACTCCTGCCACGGGCCGTTCCCCCTGCATGAAGCCTTATCTCACCCGAGTGCATTGACATTTGTGTCTCTTTTCTCTCCCTATTTCCTTACAGCCGTCTGTCTTTTTAACACTTTTCTTTTGCATTTGTTTCCCTCACTGCTGTGTCTGATTCCAACCACAGCTTTGTCATTTCTCGTTTAAGAATGTGGTTCCTAAGTGAGAGGGGGGTGAGGGCTGCTTGTGCCAGGTGCTCTGCTTGAGGGGACAGTCCCTTCACAACATGCAGCATTTAAAGCTTGTGCAAACAGATATCCCAGGATGGAGCTCCCAGTCTTAAAAATCAATTGGATTCATCACATGCACAGATGCTTAATTCTCAAGGTTGTGCATCAGGTGCTTGCTTGTCCTTACAGCCTGTTGTATTCTCCTCCTGGCACTGACCACAGGAATTGGGACTGCTCCTGAATCAGCAGAGTGCTGAAATGGCCTCCTTACCTTCCTTCTGTTCCTTGTTCCTGCAGAAGCACCTGGAAGATGCTTTGCAAGCTCGTCAGAAGGAGATGGAGAAGTTGCTGCAGAGGAAGCGCGTGGTGCAGGAGGACATCTGCAGCCTGACGGTAGCACCCTGTGGGAGCTGCTCTTCAGGCAGCTTCTGGGGCAGTGTTCACAGAGGATGTGTGTGTCTTCAGCTGAGGTCTAGCTCGGCTTCCTGTAAAAATCTAGATGAGTAACAGTGGGGATGTACACAAACGCCCTTGCATGTAGGCACAAGCTCATCACTGCTGGATATTCAGCAGAGGTTTTGGGAGGAGCATCAGCACTCATTAATGCAATGTTTACAAAATGCATTGGTGCAGCTGAGCTGCGGCCTGGTGGGCGGTGAGAGCTGTGGGCAGCCTGCTGTGGCCCTGCAGAGCTGCCTTTTTGGGAGAGCATTTAACTCCTGGCAGCTCTAAAATCCTCTCATGTCGGAAGGGATGGCAGCAAAGCTGAAGGAACTGGGTCACTGGCAGGGTTGGCACTACAAGAGTGGTGGCTGTGTCACAAGGACAGTATTGGGATTCACTGCAAAGCTCCGAGGTGAATGAGGAGCCTGAGTGCTCTCCATGGGCTTGAGAGGGACCAAGGCCCCTCTAGGTACAGATCTGTGAGGTGAGAACAGCCACAGGCTGACTGTGCTGATTTCTTGAGTGGTATAAAAGTGTTAAAACCAAGGAAGGGGAGTTAAAGGAAAATGGAAGTAGTTAAAAGATGAGATAAAACTGAGAGGGGAAAAAAACCCTGTCTTCTGACTGGAGCCTCTGACCTGCCAGCCTGCTCCATTTCAAACCTCTGCCCTCTTGCCAGATGTGGAATAGACCTCTGAGATTAATGAAGAAGTATTAGCAAATAAGCACGTGTTTTCCTGTTGCTGTGCAAGAGCTGAGAGGTGTCTCAAGAGTAAAGGAACAAATCACTGATGTGAACAGGGAGGCCCTGCACCTCCTCTGTGGTTCTGGTGTGTCAGCACAAAACACCTGCTAGAGCAAGAAGAGGCTGGTGAAGCTTCAGATCCTGAGGGACATGGGTTTCCTGTGAGGAGAAAGGGATGTGCACTTCAGGAAGCACTCCTCGAGAAAGTAATGAGGGCTAAGGTTGCACTTGGAGATTAAAAACTTAAAAAGATTTAAAGAAAACAAAAAGTCATTGGCTGTCTCTTGTAAACAGGCAGGAAGGCAGTGAGAACACGGCAAGGTTGGCTGGCAAGTAAACAACTGGGAGAAAGTGACCTCTGGATAGAGCTGAATGGGATTTTATCAGCCTTAATGAGAGAGATTAGTTTGTGCAGCTTGCCTGTCAGGCAGCTCTGCTCAGGGCCTGGAACAATGTGAAATAAATGCAGACTAACCTGAACAGCTGAGTCTGCATCTCCACAAAATTTAAAGAGCTCCAGTCTTGCCCACAGGCAAATTCCTGGTGGTGTGGGAGAGGGCTGTGGCTGCGTGTGGGGATTTCTAGTTACAGTGACCAGGCCTTTGGTGGAGCTGGCTTTTTGGGTTTGTTGGTTTTCCCCTTTAGCTCTGCAGCCTTGAAGGTTGTCCTTGTGTCCTGTTCTCCATCCAAAAAGTCATTGCTATGTCTGAACCTCAAATTTCCAGGGCTCTGTAAGCAGAGTAACAGGCACAGCCATCCTGTGCACCTACTTGTGTGTTCTGGCTGTTGGACTCACCTTCTGCCTCTTCCCTCTGCTCAGAAGGTGTCTGGGGAGCTGAACTTCAAGATTCGGGCTGAGTTTGCTCGCCTTCATCAGATCCTGGAGGAAGAGGAGAGAGCTGTGCTGGCAGAACTGGGTGAGAAGGAGGAGCAGACACTGGCTCAGCTGCACAGGCATGTTGGCCAGCTGGAAGAGGGGATGGCAGTGCTGCAGAGGGACATCAAGCATGTCAAGCAGACCCTGAGCAAGATGGAAGATGTGTCACTACTGGAGGTAAGATGCTTTGCTAACTCTGGCAGGAGGCTGAGAGATATTTCAGGATCTCAAATTGGGATGGGGGAGTCTTAAATGAGAGCACCAGGCTGTACCCCATCTCTCATCTGTTCTCCCTGCCATCCCTCTGGATCATCTACCCAATCCCTTGGATCTGGAGACTTTAGCCACAAGAGATACAGTGACATCAGTTGTAGTGGGTCTTGGGAGCCTTCCTCATTCTCCATCCAAGTGCCCAAGCAGTTTTCCCCAGGCTGCAGTTCCTGGTAGCTTGGTTTCCTCTCTCTGTGCTGTGTGGCATCAGGAAGTGGACAAGGAATTTATTTGTGCAGCTGCATGAATTAGAGTGCCTGCTAATTCTCTCTGCTTCTCACTGCAGGTGGAGAGCCTGGATGTCAGGTACGTGTCTGGCATGAAAGAAGCTGATTTGCTTTTCAGGAGCTTATCTTAGTCTCTGGCTGGGACCACATGGGAGACGCACTTTATCTCAAGTTTTAAAAGCATCACAAATTGCTCAGGAAGTTGCTGGTGCTGTGCAAGGTGGAGGCTGGTCCCCAGCATACACTGGATGCTCTTCCCAGGGAGCATCCCATGTGTTGACATGGCTGGAAGAGTGGGTAGAGGAGACAGTGGTTTGGGATGGGTGCAAAAGCCATGCATGCTGCAGGAGGGAACAGACTTTGGGTGCTTCATCTTCTCCCTGCCCCTCCTCAGCTTCTTACTACTCATGAGGCTGCAGAAGAGACCCTGAAGTGCAGGTTTGTCTGAAGCTGGGAGTAGCTGAGGGCCAGAACTGCCACAGGGATGTGTGTCCTGTCCCCTCCCTCCTGATTCCACAGGCCCAGCCTATCTGGCCATGCAGGAATCCTGTTGGGTGTGCTGGGTGTGGGTTTGCCAGGAGTCACTGCTCCACAAGCAGTGCTGCTGCCTCTCTCTTGGGCACCTCTGTCCTGAGCCACTCACTGCACTGGGGGCAAGGCTGCATCAGGCAGAGCAAGCAGAGACATTTGTGTCCTGTCTTTACCAAATCTGTCACGTGCAGCACTGTCCTGCAGCCCTGCCTGTGCTTTTCGTGCCTGCACTGGCAGTGGCTCAGCAGAGGGATTGACCCTGCCTGCCTCTCTCCACCCCAGGCCCTCGGTGCGTGTGGAGACCCAGCCTGCCCTGGACCTGCAGCACTACAGGGACAGCCACAGTGGTCCCTTGCAGTACATCTTCTGGAGGCAGATGCTGCGCTCCATCTGCCCTGGTGAGCACATGGCTGTGAGGGATGGGTGTGGTGGGGCAGGGGTGCTCTGCAGAGGGAGCGTACAGCTGGTAAAACATCATGCTTGATGTTTCTGCAGCTCCTGCCCCACTCACCTTTGACCCTGAGTCAGCCCACCCCAACCTGGTCCTCTCCAGGGATCTGACAGCAGTGACAGAGAGGAATCGAGCCCAGCCCGTGCCCGTCAGCCCTCGGCGCTTCCGCCAGTGCGTCAACGTCCTGGGCTCGCAGGCCTTCGACAGCGGCCGGCACTACTGGGAGGTCTGGGTGGGCAGCAAAACCAAGTGGGACCTGGGGGTGGCTGCTGAGGCTGTGGACCGGGCAGCCAAGGTCAAGCTGTGCCCAGAGAACGGCTACTGGACGCTGCGCCTGCGGAACAGGACAGAGTACTGGGCCACTGCCAGCCCCTGGGTGCGCCTGGCTCCCCGCCAGCCCCCTCGGAAAGTGGGCGTCTTCCTGGACTGCCAGGAGGGCTCCGTCAGCTTCTTTGATGCTGGGGACATGTCCCACCTCTTCACCTTCCACCAGGTCTCTGCAGAGAGATACTGCCCCTTCTTCAGCACCTGCTTCAGTGACGGGAGGGACAACGTGGAGCCCATGCGCCTCTGTCACCTGGCCCTGTGAGGGACCAGGGTGTGCTGGAGACCCTGGCCTGGCTCCTGCCCAGGACTGCACTTGAGGCCAGTTCTGAACACAGAAGCCTGAGCGGTGTTGGAGGAGCTGTTTTGGTTTTAGTTTTGGGAGGAAGGAGGGGATGAGTCTCTTCCCAGGTCCTGTCTGCCCTTCCTTCCCTGTGCCATGGCTGCGGTTGCCACAAGGCACTGACAGGGGTTCCTGGCACCCCTAGAAGAGCAACCTGCCTTCCCTGAGCACAGCAGAGTGCAGTAACAGCAGCCACGGGGCTGCAGGGGAGGGGGCTGGGAGTTGCTGGCACCTCCTGTCTCTCTGTGCTCCCACCCGTGACCCCCGTGGAGCAGGGCAGCGGTCCTGGGGCACCATCGGGTGCCTCAGCCCCACGTCCCGGCCATGGCATCCCCTGCGGGAAGAGCTTCCCGGGGCTGGGCTGCGGGCCGGCAGCAGAGGGAGCCCGGTGCGCGCCTCGCTTGCTATTAAAGCTCATTAGAAATTCGGTGCTGCCTGCTCGGGGCTTGTGTCCTGGGGGTTCTGCTGCTCTGGGGTGTGGCACAACCCGGGGGCACCAAGCAGTCCCCCAGAGCCCTGCTCATCTCGCAGTGGATTTTCACCATTTTAAGATTTCACCATGTCTGGCCTGGCTGGCTCTTAAGGATCTGTACATGTGAAAAAATGCCAAGTCCCAATTCTTTCCAAATTCGGCAAGAATGTGGCTCTTTTCCTGTCAGCCAACTGTGGCCCTGCTGGAAGTGCTGCACCTGCAGGAGGGCAGGCAGGGTCCCTGGGGGACAAGTCAAGGGGGTTTGGCTGCTGTGGTTTGTGACCAGGAGGTGCTGAAGTGTCTGCCTCATGAGTCAGCAGAGGTGCTGGGATGGCTCCAAGCCTGGCTGATGGAAGTGGTGGGTGGGAGGGAGGATGGCAGTGTCTGGGGCGGGTGGAAATGTCATGTTTTTCCCACCCAAATCCATTCCAAGCTCAAAGCAGAGGCCAAAGCTCCCCAGTACTGCACAGTCCCCAGTGCTGGCTGGAGCCAGACACCTCCAGCAGAGGCTCAGCTTTCTGCAGCATGGCTGGGGCTGGGTGTGAGGCTTTCCAGCTCCCACAGCTGGGCACAGGACACTAGCCGAAGCAAGGCCTTCACTGGCCACCTGCCTGCCCAGTGGGGATGGCACAGGGGCCCTGTTCCCCCGTGGTGCCACAAGGGCTGTGGCCTCCTGCACACCCCTGCTGCAGTGTGCCAGGGCTGAGGGTGCCTAAAGCCTGTGCCAGGGCAGCAGAGGAAGCCAGAGGCAAGGATGTCCCATGCAGGGTTCAGGCAGATGTGTCCCAGAAGCACTGAGGACAGCCCAGGGCTGCTCCCACTGCCTGGGAAGTCTCTGCTCTGTGCAGCCTTGCTCAGGGTTGGGTGTGGGGGGCATGCTGAGGGTTTGTGCTCCCTCCTGGCCCTGGGTTGGACTTTAGCCAGTGAGTGCTGAGCCCATAAACTGGACTCAGCCTCTTCTCCCAGCCCTCATTTCCTCTTGCTGCCCCACAGCCTCAGCTGCAATAAGAGTGGAGAAGACAGAGCTGTTGGCTTGGAAATGCTGTGAGCAGGGCTGTGGTACCCCCTGCGAGAGCGCCTCTGGAAAGGCGAGGCTGGTTTGGTCACAGCAGGGAGTTAACACTGGGGAAAGCTGAAACCCATCAGCTCCCCAGCCCACCCCAAACTGCAGCCAGGCCCGGCTGGGCAGCACAGCAGTGTCCCTGAGGTGTGAGGGGACACGGATCCGCCGGGCAGCGGCAGGGTGAGCACAGCCAGGCTTTGCTGTCTGCCAGCTCCCACTGCCCAGCTGCTGTGTGCCCTGTGCCACGTGGGCTGGTGTGATGGCACAGGCTGCCAGCGTGTGCCACTGCCTCCCACACCCTCCCCGAGCTGGAGAGCAGCCAAACCTGCTTGTCCCAAATGTTCCTGAGGGAGCACGTCCTTTCTTCTCCTGCTGGGCTGTGCGTGGTGGCCGTGGCAGAGCCACATTTTGGGGTATAATGTCCTCGCCTGGCCCTGCTGGCAGGACAGGGCTGGAGAGGCAGAGCAGCTTCTACATACAGGGGAAAATGCTGCTCTGGACTGCCATGCATGCAGTGTTAGCCCAGTAAGGAAATGCAGTCTAGATGCTGCCTGAAAAACACATTTTTCTGACAAACCAGAGCGCCGTGGAGCAGGAATTATAAGCATGAATGCAGAATGCTACCTGAGCTTGGCCTGGGTTCATGCAGAAGGGGATAGGGATGGGAGAGTGGAATGATGGGATTAAAGCACCTCTCACCCCAGCATCCAGACTCTGCACCTGCCAGGACTGGCTCTCGCCATCTTCTCCCAGGTCCAGCCTGTACTCCTCTTGTGGGTTACCTCATTGTTTTGTCCCTTCATGTTCCCACCCCAGTGTCCCTTTCCCCTAGTTATGCTAAGGCTGGGCAGTGTCCAGCAGCTCCTGCCTTGGCAGCCTTCTGTGATCTGTGTATGTCTTTATCCAGTGCTTTGGGGAAGCCTTTGCTTCCTCGGATCCCCCCACGTGCTGGAATGGGGACAAGATTTTAAAACAAGATCCTTTTGTTTCCCAGGGCCGCAACAATGGAAAGGTCCCATCGGTCCCACAGTCGCCCTGCGTTTGTGATGGAAAATTCCCCGCCCGGCGGGGCGAGCCGTGCCGGTGTCCTGCCATTACTGCCATTAGATGGCAGCGTGGACGGGCTGGTCCTGCCGCCGCCTCACTGCGCCGGGGGAGGATGCCAAAATCCCTTGACTTTTGGGGTGTCTGTCCCTTCAGCCCCGGGTCAGACCCTCTGTTCCTCTCGCACTCGGATTCTCCAGGCACTCTGACTGTGCGCTTCGGCCAGCAGCTCGGTGGTGCCATGTGAATCGTTCCCCTGTCACTGTCCACCCCCAGCACCTCACCGCTCCCCTCTCAAGGACACTGACCCCGATGCTGTCCCCAGCGCGGGGACGCTGCGTGGCTGCACCGTCTCTGATCACAGCCCCGTCACCGGGGAGGGGTCTGATCCTGTAACTTCAGCTCTTCACTTAGTGCTGGGCAGTGCCACCCCTCTGTGACATTCCAGCTCTCCCTTTTCATGGCAAGTTTTGGAAGTCTCTCTTCAAACTGTAGCGGCTTGGACACCCACTTGGGGTGAAGGGACATGGCCACTTTTTGCTCTGCTGAGACGCAGGAGGGAGGTGATCCAAGATGAGTGTGCTGAAGAGTGATGGAGTTTGCACTCTGGGCTTAAAACTCACTAATCAGGATGAGGAGAGTCGGGTAAAATAAATGCTATGGTTTAGAGTCCCTCTGAGGGTTGTAGGAGAGGGACAGGGTGATTTCTTCTGTGGGTTTGGTAACGTGAGCAGTTGAGTGCACCAGAAGTTTTCCTGCCTTTTTGAAGCCCTGAGCACATGGCTTTCATTCAGGCTCTTTCTTCACTGCCTACAAGTGAGCCTAATTAATAATCCTGTGGGGCGCAGAGCGGGGCCGCGTTCATTTATCCGTCCAGCGCTCGCTGGGCGCACGGGCAGCCGGCCAGGGCCGTGCCGGCTGTGCCACCGCGCTCCCAGCGCTCTGCCATCGCCTCCGTCTGTGGCGCGTTCGCAGCCAGTGCGCTCCGAGCCAGAGCCGCTGCGGCTGGCAGCGGCAGCGCCCTGGGGGCAGCGCCGCTCGCTTGGCGTGTGCCTGCCGGAGATCCGTGCAGAGCAGTGCTGCTGGCGCTGTGCACGCATGGACGGCGTGAGCGGGGGACCCTACTGCAGCCCCGCTGAATGAGGGTGCGAGTGTGAGCACACCCAAGTGCGTGCGTGTCTCTGTGTGCCTCAGGGAGTGCGGGAGGGGGGGTTCAAGGGGGGTGTGCAGGACTGTGGGCCTGGGTGTGTGCGTACAGGTGTGAGGTGTGGAGCTGAGGGAGTGCGCAGGCATGCAGGGGTGTGTGCAGGCAGGTGTGTTCCATCGCGTGAGGTGCGTGTGCGCAGTTGTGGAGAGCGTGTTTGTGTGCATTCCCCCGCTCCGAGAGGCCGCGAATGTGCACCCAGGCACAGACAAGAAACAGGCGATGTACGGGCAGTCTCTCACAAGTGCGGGGGTGCGCACAGGTGTGAAAACGCACGCAGGTGTGGGGGTGCGCATGTACCCATGGGTCAGGGATGATGCAGAGCCACGCACATGGATGGGGAACACTCTTGTCCCCCTGACTCAGGGGATGCAGACCCACACACACAGGTGGAGACACCCAGGTGCGAAGGGATGCGCGCACCCCGCTACTGCGGGAAGCGCGGATTCCCCGTCGGTGCCCGGAGCTGCAGGTGCGCTCCCCCCAGCCCCCTCTGCTCCCCGCCCGCCCCTCCCCGTCCCGCCCCGCCCGCCCGGCGCCCCGAGGCTCGGCGGAGGGCGGCGGGCGGCCCGGGCGGGCGGAGGAAAAGGAAGCGGCCCCGGTGCTCCCCGCCCGCCGCCGCCGCGCGTCGCCGCAGCTGGGGCGCGGCGGGAGCAGAGCTCGGGCGCGGGGCGCTCGCACCGCTCCGCATCGCACGGACCTGCCGGCAGCCCCGGAGATGAGGAGAGTTTGCACGCTGCCCCTCTGGCTCTGGCTCGGCATTGTCTCGGAGGCAGGTGAGCTGCTGGGGCTGCGGGCTGCCCTGCCCGCTCTGATGCCCGCTCCGCACCTGCGGGCGCGCTGGGGACGGGGCCGCGCCGGCGGGACGGGACGGGACGGGACGGGACGGGACGGGACGGGACGGGACGGGACGGGACGGGACTCGGCGCCTCCGCCCGCGTGTCCCCCAGACCCGCAGGGACCCGCACTTCCCGCGGCGTCCCTCACCCAGGACGGGGATGTGCCGTGCCTGGCGCTGCCCGTCCCGGGCTCCCATCCCCGGCGGGGACCGGCGCTCCCGGTCCCGGCGACCCCAATCCCCGACGGGGACCGGCTCAGTCCGCCCTGGGGTGCCCCGTCTCCGGCCGGCCCTGCCCGTCCCATCCCCGGCCCGGACGCGCCGCGGTGCCCGCTCGGGTGTCCCCGACGGCGGTGACAGCGTACCCGCAGCGACGGGACGGGCGGACCTGCCGCGGTCCCCTGGGGCCCGGGGCCGTGGGGAGCCCCCGCCGTGCTGGTGCCGCGGGTGTCTCGCTGCGAGCGGGGAGAAGCCTCACGGGACCCCCGCGGGAGGGATGCTGCTGCGCGGGGACGCGCCCGGCTGGAGGCCCGTCCCGGCTGTGTTTATTTATTTTTTCACGCACAGTCATTAATTTGTGTGTGCCGGGGAGGGAGGCGCGAGGAGGCGGGGGTCCATGCAAGGCTGTCCAGCCTGCCTGTCCCAGCTCTGGTCTGCCTCGGAAGTCACCCGAGGCAGATCCCAGTTAAATGCTTTCCCTGCAGAGCCACGGCGGAGATGGGGCTGCAAGCCCTTCTAGCAAACAGAGCCCATGAGACAGGGCAGAGCTGGGTGGGCACTGCCAGGGCAGTGGGGACAGGACACCCCACCAGATATCCCTAGAGGAGTTCTTTCTCACACAAGTAAAGCATTTATAGCCCAGATCAGAGCAAGACTGAAAGTTAATAATGGTGGAAGCTTGCAATGTGGGGATTAATTTTGGCAGCATAAATAGAATTTGCTGTAGCATCAGCTCAATGACTCGCTATCACCAGTGGCATTTGCTGCTATCGTTGAAGTGAGCTCATGGGAGAGCTGCAGGTGTGGCATGAATAGCATCACCAGCAGTGTCACTGTCAACCTGCTCTGCCCAAAAAGCTGCTGATGTCTCTGGTGTCATGGGGCCAAAGGACACAATGGGTGGCTGGAGCTCAGGGGATGCTCAAGGAAGCTGGGCAGAAAGGAACCTGCTGCTGGTGGTATTGCAGCAGGAGCAACTGTGCAAAGCTCTCTTGTTAGCAATTTGTAAAGCACAGTGTAGCTGCTCCTGGGTTCTTTCATCTCCTGGAGGTGCAGGAACAGTGCCTGGGAGGCTCTGGCCAGTGCAGCTGTGTGGCCTCGTCGGCACAGGGCTGAGCAGAGCTTTGAAGCTCTTGGTGCTGCCTGATTAGTGCAGTGATGAAGGGCGATGTGGAGCTCAACTGGCGGATGGTACCATGGGGATTTGCTTCCCCTCCTTCCATTCTATCAATAAGGACAATTTGTCAGTGCGTAAAGGACCCACAGATTTCTCATTAACCATAATCCCAATGGGCTGCAAATATTTGCTCCCCTTGGAAGCAGAGATGTGTGTGTGAGACTGTTCCACCTGTGAAGGATGAAATAATCATCTCAGGATCATGAAAGGTCTGTTCTGGTGCCTGTTTAAATGGGCCAGTATTAGAGACTGCTGTGTGTAAGAGCACAAAGCTCTTACACATCCCAGCTCCATGATGCTCCCAGGATGGAATGGAGCTGGGGAGCTGCCCTGTGCAGGCAGTGAGATGGGGGGAACAGGCACAGGTTCAGCATTCCAGATCATCTTGGCCTCTCAGGGTAACCCTTTGTGGATGGTGATGAGACCATCCCTGAGCCACCATCTTCTGGACACAGAGCCCTGCTGAGCCCCCCACAGCCAAACAATCCCGCTGGGGACACTGGCTAGCCCCTTCCAAGGGCGTATGGCCATTGTGTGAGGGAAGGGCTCGTGCTTGTGTAGGACCTGAGCTGATTGCCTTGGCTGCTGCTGCTGCTCCCCTCTCGATCACACAGAGCTCCGGGCTGGGCGCTCGGACAGCCCTGCGCTGACCGTGCCAGCAGCAACAGTTGCCTGTGCAGCTGGGATTTGAAGCAGTTGCTTTATTGCAAGTAATAAACATGGGCCATTTCAGCAACACCCTTTCATTCAACAGCCCTGACTGCACAGGAACCCCACCAGGCTCAACCACAGCGCTGAGCCAGGGCCTCCCAGGGGAGTGGGTGTTTGCAGCCTGTGGTCCCTGGGGGCTGCCAGGGAGGGGACAGCCAGAGCTCCTGTGCCCTGCTGTCTGCTTAAGGATGATTTCAGATGAGTGAGCTGCAACTACCGCCCTGGGATTTGGCTTGGGCACGTGAGACCGTAGCTCACTGCCTGCACAAACACCCACCAAGGCATCACTGAGCTCAAACTGATGTCTGGTCAGAAGAACACTCCTCCAGCAGCACAATGCCCCCGGCCAGTGCAGGCAGGGTGGACAGGGTTTCCTCTGGTGTATCCCATTCCACTCTGCTGCCTCTCTCCCATGGGCTCGCTCCATGCAGGATCGCTGTCCCCAGGGTTTCTCTTGGCCCCGCGTTGTTGCGGTGTTTTCCGGGGCAGGCGTGGGAAGGGCAGGTGCTCCCAGCCAGCCAGGAGGGAACAGGCTGTTCCCAGCATCCCGAGGCAGTTCCTGGAGAAAGAAGGGGAGAGCGGGATCCCACGGGAACGGCAGCAGGAGGGAGGGAACCGTGGCCAGGGAGCAGTTTCTCCAAAACCATAGGGGACATCCACCACACTCAGGAGGTTGCCTTGCAGAGCAGGAGGGGGTTCTCGGTGGGTCCCCAGGTCTGTCCAGCTCTCAGCAGCTTTGGGGAGCAAGGTGAGCCCTGGGGATAGCACCTTTCTCACCCACTTTCTCTTCAACCACTCCAGCTGGCACAGCAGAGGTGACTTTGCATTCAGCCTGCTGGACTGAAACAGCCCCAAAAAAATGGGTACAGGGCAGGAGACTCCTCAATCCCAGTTTGGGGGGCTGTGCATTTAAACCAGGTTGGTGGGGGGGAAGGCTGCAACAAGCTGGGGGTGATGGGGAGGTCCTGCAGGTGCAGGGAGAAGCAGAAAGCCCTGTGATGGCCAAAGCCCACAGGCTCCACTGCCCAGGGAAGGTGGGGTGGTTTCTGTGTGAGGAATGACTAAAGCTGCAGGGCTCTTCCACTGGGATAGACAGACTGGGGCACAGTGCCTGAGGGCTGCAAAATCAGAGCTCGCCTGGAGAAGGCAGCTCCTGGTGGATTCCCGTGTTGGGAGCATGGTGGGAGGCTGGTGGCTTGTTGCACAATGCTGAGCAGCAGTGGAGCTCACCTTCACAGGGCCTTGTGGGTGTGTTTGCCTGGGTCCATGGGCAGTTGTGCATGGGTTTGAAAGGAGAAAATCCACAGGTAGTTAGTTCAAGCTGAAAGCCCCCTTTTCCACCTTAGGCTGGTAGCCAGATGTGCCCAGTGCTGTGTTTTGCCTTGACCTGTCCCAGCTTTCCCTGCAGCTCCTGTAAATCTCCAGCTGGGCGAGAGGCAGCAGCCAGGTACACGTCCCACTCCTGCTGTGTACTGTGGAGGGATCATGACCTCCTGGTGCATGCCACGGTTTTCCGGGGAGACCAGAGCTGAGCCTCGCCTTGGGCCAGAGCTTTTGTCCTTCATTAGGAAAAGAAATACTGCCGCAGCTGCACTGGCATCTAGTGACTGGTTAAATGAATTCCAGGGGTTTTATTGCCTCTGGCTATCCCAGACCTTTGTTTCTTATTTCACGTTGTTAAAAGAGGGGGTTAGCCAGGTCCCAGCGGGGCTTTTTCTCTTTGGTCAGAATAGTTCTGATGTTTTCGGCACAGCATTATTGCCCATCTGCGGTGCCTCATTGTTAAGGCAGAATAGTGGAAGCGGAGGTGGCCTGTGGTCAAGTCGGCGAGGAGGCACAATCCCTGAGCCCAGTGTGGCTGCTCCTTGTGTCGAGGAAATCACTCCATCTCTAGGTGCAAGTTCAGCAGAAGGAAGGTGAAAAACCTGGCCCTGCAGCAGCTGGTGCTGAAACTCCCACTAAGTTTTATAAGCTGAGGATATTAAGTGGGGAGTCTTGGAGTCTCTCCTGGAGTCATTTCCCTGCTGAGGTAGCAGAAACAGGTTTCAGCCAGTGACTTGTATTTCACCTTACAAGTTCTCCCACGAGTGAATTGTTTTTCTTGCTGTGTTTCTGCCCCCTCCTTCCAGGGCGAGGATCCCTCCCGCAGCCTCTGCGGCCAAACCTGGAGGTGCCGTGGGACGGACGTCATGTGCTAATGAGGGAGGATCGGTTTAGGGGGTCAGGAAAAGGCTCTCTCTGGGCAAACAAGGAAGACGTGGTGATGGGGGAAGGCAAACTTAAGTGCTATAGTCTCCTGTATCTAAGCACACAGTAACTGGGCAGCTGCTGCTCCCCTACTCGGGTTCTAGGCAATGAAAGACAACAAGGACCCCAGGGCTGTTCACAGGAAGGACCAGAAGAAAGGAACAAATCCTGGTCCTGGTCCCTGATGGGCATACCTCTGGAATGGGCAGAGAGAAAAATTAGATGAAATTTTACCTGGCAGCAGCCAGCCCAGGGCCATTCCTGTCAGAGCCTGGAAAACCCCTGCTCTGTTTCAGAAGAATTAATGAAAGAATAAGCTTGACTCTGCTCCTGGTGTAGATGCATGTAAAGAGGGAAGCGATGGAGCAGCTCACTGATGTTTCTGGCACCCATTGTCTCTATGTGAGGAGTAGCTGCCCACCCATGTGCAGGTGTGGAGGGGTTAAGCATTCTCCTGGCTGTGAAAATGCCAGCCAGTGCACCAAGGCTGCCCACTGTGGTCTGCGGTGCCAGCAACGGTGACACAGCGCCCAGGCTCTGTCCCACTCTGGCCACACCACCCTGCCTGGCGAGACCACCTGCTC